GAGCCAGCGCTTGGCTGGGCGCGGGGTGGATCGCCGCATCCAGATTCTCGGGGCACCAAAAATGAGTGCCAAATGGGAGCCAAATTTTGTGCGTCCTTTTACAATATGTCTTTATTCGTCAACATTTCCTGGATATGTTTTTCTTGTCACTAGTGACTTCATTACAACCGTGTGTGGTGACTGATTGAGTAACATGCAGTTACCAGCCGTTTACTGTCCTTGTACGGGTCTGTGTGCGTGTATGCGATGACTACTGAGGTTAGATTCCTAGAAGGGAAGTAGTGGGAATGAAAGTTGTGTGTTTTTTACCTCATACTCCGTGTTGCTGGAGAAGTTTCACCGAGAAGCTTCTTGTAGTTTTGACAAAAGAAAACTTCAGTACCACTCGGCACTGTTGATGTTTTTCATCTCGATTAATCTGGTAAGGGAAAAAAAATGATGTTTCAATATTTTGTTTGCTTTTCTCTGACAATTTTGCTCACTGGTTGACCATTTGTAACTCTTTGTGAATGGTCTTTTAAAAAATAAGTACTGGGGGGCCAGGGAGATAGCTCATTAGAATAAGCGCTTGCCTGGCAAGCACAAGGTCCTGAGTTCAATCCCCGGTTCCACAAAAAAAAAAAAAAAAAAAAAAAGTACTGTATTTGAGCCACGTTTCTTTTATTGATTTGAAAAAACTCCTAATATTACTGTAATTTTAATTATCTGCCATATGTTTTGTAAAAAGATTTGTAGTTCATCAGTTTTAGAAGGGATAAGTGCTTTTTGAAAAAGCTTTGGTGTGTTTTATATTGTCAGAAGAATTTTTTAAACTTGTACAGACAAATTTGTCAGTATTTTTCCTTAGTATTTTGCTTCTAATGTCATGCTTTAAATGACTTTGCAATGTCAGGATAATGAAATTAAAAAAAAAAAATTTCAACCTTCAGTTTATATGAAATTTGTTTCAGGATGGGAGTGAGGTTGGTGGGGATAAGGAATGAGGAATCTTTTTTTGCAAATTGTTATTAAATGGTTTAACCAGCTGTCCTATTAATATTCATTGATTGTTTTCCCCTAGTGATTGGATTATATAAAACTCACATACATAAGTCTATTTCTGAGCTTTTTCTTTTCCTATTGATCTATTTCTGTGCCACCTGCTGTAACTTTAAAATAGTTCATTAATACCAGCTAAATGTTACTAGTCCTTTTATGCTAATTCTCAGAGTATTCTCAGGGTTTATTACATATTTATTTGTATATAGGTATTTATTATACATAAATCAAAGTATTGTGTCTGGGGACATAGCTCAATGCACAAGTGCCTGCCTGGCAAGCGCAAGGTCCTGAGGTGGATTCTGGGTACAAAAAAAAAAAAAAAAAAAGAAAAAAAAATCAAAGAATTATTTCATCAATATCCCCATCTTCTCTTTGGAATAGTTGTGTTAAATAAAGAGTACTCCCATCCTAGAACTTTGTATATATTTCCTTTTAGTTGTCCTTTGTGTTTTTGTCTAGAGTATTATAGTTTCTGGCTTTCAATCTATAAATGCATTTCGTTGTGTATATCTGCTTGTTTCATATTTTGTTTTCCTTTACCCTTGAGTCACTACTTGGGTCCTGAAAGTGCTTGCCAAGCCTCTTGCTGCTGGTATGAGTGGAAGCTATTGTGCCCTGGTCCTCTGCCATACTTTGCTTCCTCTGACTGGGTGTGGTGGTGTGTGTCTGTTGTCCTAGCCATTTGGGAGGCTGAGGCAGGAGGAGGACCCCAAGTTTTGAGACCAGCCTGGGCAACTCTGTGAGTTTGTTTCAAAATAAAAAGGGCTGATGATACAACCTGTGGCTCAGTGGTAGAGTGCTGCCTAGCATGTGTGAGGCCCAGTGTCCAATTCCTAGTAGAGAGAGAGAGAGAGAGAGACAGACAGACAGACAGACAGACAGACAAACAGAGACAGACAGAGACACAGAGGGAAGAAA